CCCCAAAACCCCAAAACCCCAAAACCCCATGTCTAAGATTTGACGATGAATCAAAATAAGCTTATTTAAATATAATTTGCATGCAAGGGCAAGTCTACTCAATCTTAAGAAATAGAGAGACCAGCTTGAACAGCCACATACAAATTTGAATAACAATGACCAGAAATTATATTAGCTGGCCAATTAGAAATTGACTGTTCATCTTCCATTTCCGTATAGTCTCATTCTCATATCATTGAGAGCAATTTCTTTAGGCCTTGTACCATTGTAGCGAACTAATCTTGACTCGATTCTAGATCTTTGCATCTCTGTCAAGTCTTGTGCTCTCATGAAGTTATCCATGAATTAGTTGAGACCTGAAATTTCATCAATGAGAGCGAAATCATCCATGGTGATTGGCTAGTTGTCTTCTACCTCTGGTGGCAACTCAGTGAACACCTTTGGTCCTCTCTTGTCTAATTCAACTAATACATCCTCCAAATTTTCCTTGTGAACTTCGAAATGCTCCATTATCATATTATGGCAGAGACGATTTCTTTTGTCGAAGAATTACCAGTTGTACATCAAATGATTGCAATTTTGCTCTCCTAGTCTGTTCACCTAAATACCGTACCTACATGAATATTAGAAATCAATCAATAAATGCAATAATTAGATATGAATTTTCTTTTCCATATCACTTTTAGATTATGAAAAAAAGGTATCATTATTATTTTGAGTAATCTTGGTGGAAAGCTTACAAGTAAAGTGGGATGATTAAGAGGATTGAGAGTCCAGCTGAGGTGTTAATATGGCGACCAACATACTCATCATAGAAAGCGATGTACCACCAAGCACGAGTTCTAGTAAAATAGCTTCCCATTTTAATTTATAATTAATAATTCCTATTAATTTATAACCTTAATGGTAAATTTATAAATTATACATTTAAACTACTTCTATGCTTCTTCGCTAATCATTCTTTAGCAACACTTCCTATTACCTTAAGTATCAGAAACTCCTGTGAATGCCAACTTATCAAATGACTAATTATCATAAATAAAATGCGAGCACTTGTGAACGATAAAAATCCGATTAGAAAATCATCAAAACCTAATATAGATCATTCTTCAATGAATCTCATAATGGATAGAGTTATAATAATCAAAAGTAATAATAAACTCATTATCAAGTTCTGGAACTGCAGTTAGACGCTACATAGGATCAAATAAAGAGTTAATTTAGGAAGCTAGCTTTGAATTATCATCCTGATGCGCTTTACCATATTAAAGATGCCAAATTTCTAGAGCAGTAAAAGTTAAAGTTCTTGAAAGTTAAAGAAGCATATGAAGTATTATCAAACTAATAATCAAAGCTTACGTATGATAATTTAATAGGAAATACATTTGGCTAGGAATACTATGACTTTGAAGAGCCAAAGCAGAGTCAAAATGATAAGGCCTATAATGAGTAAAGAGAATTAGAGTTTGAAAGAATCAGACAAAAAATAATATCAAGAACTGAGATCGAAAAGGAACTTAAGAGGCGAGAAAATCTTGAGAAAGAAAAACAAATAGAGCTTAAGAGATAAGAAGATAATAAAAAGCGTGAAGAAATGAGAAAATAGGCTTTGGAATAGTAAAAAGAATAGTGGCAGTAAATGAAAGAGATTTTTGATAATTACTAGCAGGATGATATGCAGTACTTAAAGCACCAATAGGCATAGAATAGGCTATTTGAGATGAATTATATAGAGAGACATTTATAATAGGAGCAAAGCAATGAAAATCAAAGATAGATAGAGGAGCTTTATTTGCAGGATTACTAAAATAGGATAAGGTTTTAAGAACGACATAAAAAGGAGTATGAAAAGTTAAGAAAATGGAATAGTCTCATTAAAGATATTGAAACCAAGACTGAAAAATAGAATTCAGTTCACTCTTCTGATAAATAAAATTAATCTTATAGAAACGCATCAAGCTTCAATTATAATGATATTAAGAATATATAAGAATAAAAAGTTCCTTAAAATTTGTAATATGATCATTCAAAAGTGCAAAAATTAATACTCTAAAAGTAAAGTCAAAATAGAGAAAGCAGTTTAACATCTGATTTAATTTAGAAACAGATAAACTAGACTGAAAGCACAATTATTGTTGGGGCTATCATTGGATTAATAGTTGTAGCATTCTTATCATATCCTCTCTTAATATCTAATAAAGATGGAAAATAGTAATCATCTAATAATAGTGCAAATGATAGAAATTCAGATTAGTCATAAACTTAATAATCAAATGCATAGATTAGGACTGGAAATAATTTGAACTAGTAGAAAGCCTAAAAGTAATGACCAGAATCAGAAGATTATTCAAAGATGAGAACTTAAGTATTAATTCCATATGAAGCAGCTAAATCAGATCCAGTATGGTTAGTTAAAAAGCATGCTAATTAAAAACTGACACCATTGGAAACTGAAATGTATTTGAATTTCATTAGAGATTAGGAGTTGAAGTTGTTCTGGAGTGGAAAGAAATGGGATGGGTTGCCGAGTCCATACATGATAGCTTAGATTATCCAGAGATATCATCAAGCTAAATCATTTTGCATGACTTCTTTTCTTAGTTGTTCCTTGGACTATAACAGAGAGGTTTACTTTGGAATCCAGGATGAGTGTGGCTCAATAAATCCATTTCAAATTTGGCATGAAGCTTTCAATGAAAGAAGATCAATACCGATTGTATAGCAATTTATGGACCAATATGAGATTCCTTTGTTTCAAAATATTGGGAACTCTAGAGAAAGTATTAACGCATTTTTCTAGGCTAAATATGGTATGTTTACCTGCATTGATTCAACGTATAATGTGGGCTAAATTGATTTTGACCCAGAACTTGTTATCTTTTGGGAGCGATAAAGAAAGTAATAACTGCTTTTTATTTATTTTTTATTAGGAATACTAAGTTTATTTGGTACCTCTCAATGCTCTACGCAATAAGATGCGGGAAAGTGACTGAGAAGCAACTTGAACCATTTAAGAAGGACTTAAAGTAGACCAAGCGTTATTTGAAGTATATAAAGAATAACCCCAAGCATTAAGATAACTTAGTGACATAAATGATATATGAATCTGCTCCTCAAATGATGGAAAAGATGAATAATGATAAAAGAGTGCTAGAAAGGTAAAATATGATTGAAGTAAGAATTATAAAGTTTAACATCATATAGAATGTTACAAAGAAAGTAAAGTTTTATTAAAATACAACAAAGTATAGAACTCCAAGAGAACTAGAGCATTTAGTGGTGTTGCTGGATGATGATTAATTAAATGAAGAAGTAATCAAGTACGTTGAGAAACAGCTGGCTGCTTAGAAATTAAGTTGATTTCAGATTTCAAGGTTAAATTTTCTCTTATGGTAATTAAAATTAACCTATATTTATAATTCATTTATTTCTTAATTGATGGTTGATAATTTATTATGGGGTTTTGGGGTTTTGGGGTTTTGGGG